GAGATTAAGAAATGTGTCCAAAGTTACACAGCTAATATATTAATGGTGGTGCTGAACTTCAAATCAGGGTCTATTTGATCAGTTTCTGTTCATGTGTGGTGCATTTTGTGGACTTTAAGCCAACATCTCTTCCCTGTTTAGATTTCTGCATACATTTCTCCCAAAGAGTTGTTTTCACATAAATTCATAATCTCTTTCCTTGCAAGGCAAAAATTTAATGCTATTTAATCTTCAAAGGATGTGTTGAATGCTAACAAGCTACTCAGGCATTTGGGGAGATGGGATAAGAGAGGGGAGGGCGTGGGAGTCAATTCCTGGAGTTGCACTTTATTTTAAGTTTGATGTTAGGAAATTCTTGAAAAATTATTTAAATAATTACCATCATCCTACTACAACTATTTATTTTATTTTTTAATGTTTTTATTTTTTTTATTTTTGAGACAGACCATGAGCAGGGGAGGGGCAGAGAGAGAGAGGGAGACACAGCATCTGAAGCAGGCTCCAGGATCTGAGCTGTCAGCACAGAGCCTGACGCGGGGCTCGAACTCATGGCCTGAGCTGAAGTTGGACACTTAACCAACTGAGCCATCCAAGCGCCCCTACTACAAGTATTTATTAAGTTCTCCCAAGTCACCAAATGCTGTGGACACATGGTTTTTGCTCCATAGATTTGCTCTTTGAAGTGAAACCTTCCTCCACCCATCTCCCTCCACCACAGAAAAGGAAGAGGGAAGACGAGAGGGACAGAGAGACAGAGAAGAAAGGGTTTTGTTTTCCTTCCCTATGAAGTCTGGTTTTCCCAGACGAGTTGAATTCAGGTGCTCTGGTTTTTCTCTATACTATCGAAAAAGCAATTCTGCCATCGCTTACCATTGTGTGGTCTCTGGAATCAAGGCTCTTTTTCTTATGAAAATGAAGCAATGGCCAAATTTCCACAGCCTGGAGAAAAGGAAAGATGGAGACAGTTTTCTCAATAATTGCTTCAATTCTCCCTCTTGTGCTAGCTGTGGGAACTTGGCCAGCAACTATTAAAGAGATGTCAGATTGATTTCCCCCCCTCCCTCTTTTTACTGTTTCCTCTGCCTAAAATGCTGTTCTCCCCCTTCTAAGTTATCACACCCCCTCTCATTCTTCAGGTCAGATGTCACCTCCCCTGGGAAACCTCAACCAACATCCCTGTCTCTCCACTTCCCTGATTACTGCTCATGCCCTCTATCCCCAGAAAAATTAATCACCTCCCCCCCTTTGCTCCTGCAACACTTCATTATACTATTCCCATAGCATTAATCACGTTGTATTATAGTTAGCTGTTTGCTTTTCTATGTTCCCCTAAAAGCTGCGAATTTCCTAGAGGCAGGGAATTTTTTAAAAATTCACCACTATGTCCTCATAATGCCTGGTACACAAGAGACGCACAGTACTTCTTTATTTGATCAGGCTTGCACCGGGAATGGCCTCTACACCACCTTAGCCAAATTTCAAGGGAAGAGAATTTTCCTGTGTTAATTCCTCCCCTCATTTCCTTGCAGTAAACACCAGACTCACTGCTCCATGGGGTGGCATCATGTCTACACTTTGAAGCCTAGGTGCACTTGAATGAGTTTGAGCAACACGTTTTTGGCGAGGATGGGACCTATTTCAACTGGCTTTACTGGTGTCAACTGAATCAGAAAACAGAGATCAGAGAAAATCACATAAAGCAACAAATCCTTATTCTTACAGTGGTTTCAATAGTTGACATAGAGTCTGTTTTTTATGCGTTACAGAATACTTTCTTCTGGGGACTGCTTCCCTTACCCCAACTGCACATGTAATCAGTGGGGCTGTCCATCATGACATGTTCTTCTTCTCATGGAGTTGGGCATGCCCAGAACACTCTATTCCACTGGGTACCGTGATTGGCCAGGATTGGGGGTGGTTCTCTCAGCGGAACCAATTGGTGCCCTGTTTCAAACTTTGATACCGATTGGGAGGGTTGTTGGGAGTTGGGGAGGGAAGGAAGAGAGAATGTGAAACAAAAACAGAGCAAGATAGAGACAGATGGAATCTCTTACCTTGTAAAATCATCATGGAAGCCCATGAACTGGACCAATGAAGGGAGAGGATAGTACACGTTATGGGGTAAGAGATCCAGAGGAGTGCTCTGGGCCTCCATGTGCTGTTCCATACAAAACCAGTGTAAAGATTTTTAAACAGTTTCATCCTTGCCAGAACGCCTGAAAAAAGAATTCCTCCATGTCACACCAGCTCTCAGCAGCCCTGCCTGTCAGGGGTCTTCACATAGTTACAGCAAGTGTGGGAATAAATCTATTATAGAGGAAGAACAACTGAGAGATGGAGACAGACACCTTCCTGATAACATTGTCTGAACACTTGGATCCAGGCTTACTTGAGCTCTCCAATAACATGCAACAATAAGTGATCTTTTTGGCTTAAGATAGCTCGAGTTTGGCTTTTCTCACGTGCAACTGAAAGCATTCTGACCAGTAGATTTTTCTAATACACAAATCTGCTTATCGTTTCAAGTTATGGGAAGAGCACTTCAAGAGCAACGATGCAGGGCCATTGAGTTAATCTCGATGGCATATTTGACTGTTACTTTTGGGAAGATTGTTACCTAAAGATGATTTCAAAGGAGTGGGTAGCTCGAGAGGGTTCCCATTCAGGCTCTGTTAGAGCACATGCGTCACCCATAGATCAGAAGTTAGTTCCCAATAAAATTTCTTGCCTACATGAATACATCTGGGTCTCTCAAAAGTGGCTGCTTTGGTCTACTAGAGTTTCCATTAGGGATGTCACTGCCTATGGGTTCTGCCCAAATGTATACTTCCTCTAACATACAATGAATTTATATTTTGAGTGTCTGGGTACTTTTCAAGTACCTTGCTTGGTAACAAAGGCTTGAAGTTAAGGAGATTCCTCTTAGTTTGCATTGTTTCTTCTACTACCTAAAAACAAAACAAAACTCAAACCTAAATAATTTAAAATGACCATTGACCAGTCAAATAGTTCTCACATTTTCAATTTTCCTGTAATAGATCATGTCTCCATTGAAGTGGACTATTACAGCTGCCTGAAAAAGTATTGTTTGATGTCTGTAAGCACAGTCAGCAATCAATAATTTGAAATTTGTACCATTTGTACCTTTAAGTCCTGGCACATCATTTTTTTATTTCATTCAATCTGCTTACTGTTGAAGAAAAGGGATTTTGAACCATTGCCACAGAGCACATTTATGTGTGAAACAAGGTTCATTTATACGGTGGGAAGTATATCATTTTGACGTTTATTTGCAATATTAATTGTATATATTGATTCAGTTTTTTCAGAAATTGTAAATTCATTATAAATACTACCACTGATGACCTTATTTTGGTGAGAATATTTTCCTGCAGAACTTGAAAACACTTTGGAGTCAAGACATGGATTTTTAAATTCAGAAAGACAACATATGCTGTAATATTAAATTAAAATTCCATAATCAGTTGTTAGTTCAAGGACACACTGGAGCAGGAAATGCATTTTTTTAAAAATGTTGTCTCTTAGCTGTGAGATTAAGAATGAGTGGCCTTCGTTCTCAGCATTTCTTCACTCATTTCTTGTGTTTGATCTTAGCCCAAATATGAATGTAGTGTGGAAAGTTACCTTTAGCCATTTCCAGGTGTCACTAGTGTTTTTAGTTAGTAATCATAAGAGCAGCCTAACCCAAGGCCCTTCTCTGCCCTCCTCAAGTATGCCCCCTACCCGACCCCCTATACGCAGACACACAAGAGTAGGTTTGGCTTTGGAAATAGCTGAGTAATGATCCTTTCAAGGAACACTTGAGTTCAGCATACCCGGGAAGAAGGGGAGTCAAATAACCACCACCCAGGATCCCTGGACACGTCTTTGGAAAGAAGAAAAAAGATTTGAGTCTCCTCACAAGGGATGAGATGTTGTCAAACTGTTAGAAGGGATATGAGATTTTGGCCAGGCAGGCAAGCTTGTCCCCGAAGGATTGCTGCCTGCCAGGGAGGAACACTCGTCAGAGAGGATAACTACCCTGTGGGAGAGAGAGAATCTGGATTCTATCCTTTTACTCACTCAAAAGTGTAGGTCAGTCCCCTTAGTTTGCAGACATGGTAATTAAAACAAAAATTACACCAAGCGCTTTAGTATTTATCAAGCGCCCACCTACTGTGGGATGATGTGATGGGCATCATGGTGGGGATGGGGGAGGGGAAGATGGAAGAGGTGGCCCTCGCAGCTAAGAGGCTTCTCATACGGTGGGGACCTCTAATACGGTGGGGGTATAAAGCAAATGTACAGAACCCTAAGACAATGCAGAAGGAGATAGGCACCTGCAGAGAATTATACATAAAGTGCTATAAATACTTCCGGAAGGGAAGACTATCTCTGCCCTGGGGAATTTGAGCAGACTTATCCAGGAAAGGGCATTTGAGTTGAATCTTGAAGGGTGAGTAAAGAGAGATGGGGGGAAGAACATTATGCAAAGGGAATCACATAAGCAAAAGCCCAGAAAATATATAACGTATTCAGAAAACATTGTCTCGCATAAACGGCACATCGAATATCTAGGGGAAAGAAGGGACTGCAAAAGCAGATTGGAGCCAAAGTGTGGCAGGATAGGTCTTAAAGACGAAAACAGAATTTGAACGTTCCTCTCAGACACTGGGAGACCAGTGCTCTTCGGGAGGAGAGACAGGGTCCTCGGTAAGGTCTGGGAAGGTGTCCCCAGTACCATTCTTCTTGCAGAGAAGGATGGGAGCGGACTGGAGGAGCTTTCCAGGAGAAAGGCAGTGAGGGGCCGAGTGGAGTACAGGCAGCTGGCATGGAAAGAAGGGGAACAATAAAGGAGTCATGGCAGAGGTCAAACTGTCAGGTCTCAGCAAGTGGGGTGGCGGAGGCAAGAGCCCAGGGAAGGGCTGGAGCCCTGGGAACGACAGGGCGGTAGGAGGTGATGAATTCCATTCTGGACACGTTGACTTGAAGTTTCCGGCATGAGACTGAAGAGAAGAGTCCAGCAGACATCTGGAAATGTGGTTGGGAGAGAGGACGGAGCTGAGATAAGCACCTGGGAGGCAGCCACAGCGAGGTGAGCGTAGAAGCCCTGAGAATGGATGAGAACCACCAGGAAAAACATATGGAGGGAGGGCCTGGAGGAGCCCAGAGGAAACGGAACATAAAAGGAGAGAAAAAGCACTTTGGAAGACTGGCGAGTGCCAGAGAAATGCTAGATAGTAATGAGGATTCATGGACTGAAAGGCTATTATTTGGAGCTGAGAGAGACCTCAGAGATCCGTGGGTCCAATCTTTTCATTTGACAGGAAGCAGCGACTTAAAAAGGTTAAATTACAGCCGGCAAACAGCTGTATTCTGGGCTGTACTTAGGCCAAATGGCGAAGTAGGTAAAGCTTGTTTACCTCCCGCCTCCTTTTCCCAGACTACCCTCTCCCTCTTCATTATTTATAGTAACATGCAAAGTAGTGGCCATTGTTAAGCTCTTTCTCCAGAGGTGGCAGTGGCACCGTGTAACGGTTGGGACTTCGGAGCCCAGCTTCCTGGACTCCAAACGTGGCTCCTCTGCGTAACGTCTGCGTGTGACTTTAAACAAACTCCTTGAACTTTCCAAGCCTCAGTGTCCTCGACCGTGAATGGGGTAATAACAGTACTTGTCTCCTCACTAGTACACGTAGAACACTTAGAGTAGTGCTTGGCCTCTCCGAATAGCTATGTAAGCATTAGCCATTATTTTATGAAGTACTCTAAATTAAGGAACCGTGTAATTTATTGTTCCAACTGGGATGCTTTCGAGCAGTGCCATGTGGAGCCATATGGGAGCCCGAGGCAAAGAAAAAAAAAATCAGTAATGCTGATCTTTCTTTTACTTAAAATGTGGGTATTTTGATAATCATGGGTTTTTTGGTATTGATTTAGATTTTTAAGAGGATTGCCTTAAAATGTGGTGTATCTTGCTTGCTGAGTTTTTGGTGCTCCTTGAATTTTGCATCCTAGGCAAGTACCTCACTCACTTCATTCCCCTAGTTTTGGCTCTGTGGTGGGGGTGATATGGAAGACTTTGAAGAACTCTGTGGGGACAGCAGGCATACGTCAGTACTTTCCTGGGCACGGTGACACCTGTGATTGCCCTCGCTCTCAGCGCACCATCTATAGAGCATCTCTTTGTGTGTATGTGTGTGTGCACATACACGTGTGCGACTTATCTCCCACCAGTGTATACACTACCTTTCCCAGGGCATAGCTGTGGCCTCAGGACCAATCAGGAACCATGTATGAAATTCGGGTGTGTTCTTCAAAAGGTCACCTGGCATTGGAACCTGGACCCCAAGCCATTACCTCACTGAACTTGTTTCCCTGGAAGGGTGTGACCTGAAACTTCAATCCTTATAGCCTTCAAATCATGCCACAGGGCCCAGCGAGAAGCTGATCTCACAAGGTGGTGACTAACAGCTTAACATCTTATGATTTCCTGAAGCGTTTACCTAATTTGAGGGATAATATTAGAACCTACTGTCTCAAGATTAAATGAAAAACTGTATATAAACTACTTAGTAAAATGTGTGGACATGACAGATATTCATTAGGTGGCAAGCAGTAACCACTATTATTTAATGACAAATAATTATACAATACCTAAATAGGTAGTGATTATTACTATAGTTGAATTGTATGAAGTTGTTGGTAGTCAACAGTGTTTGACCTACAAAAATAACAACCTCTTAGAGTTCAACCTACTACTACTACGATCATGATAATTAGCATATTAGATTGAACCATATTGAACCGCCATGTGGGAGATCAAAAATGATCGAGTGTTGGCAATCTCATATGGTTCCACCTAATAAAAACAGTACATTGTTGGCACCATTGGATTAATCCAAAGGTCTGAGTGATTAGCAATTGTTATATTGGGTAATCACTTCACATGGGCAACTGCTTACTTTATGAATTAGAAAGCTCTTCCTAATTACATGCTATACAATTATCCGCACAGAATATTGTGTTCATTCCCCTCCATTCTACAGACATTTCTGGAGCTTCCCCCATGTGCCAGGTGTTGAGAGAACACCGAAGGGGACTAAATGGCTGCCAGAGCGTGGGTTTTCTCCAGAGCACGGTGTTCTGGAAACAGAGGTTGTACCTCAGATTGTGTTCTCTTAGAAGCTAGAAATTACTATACGTAATTGCTACACGTGGTGACTTCCGTATGTTGATGACTCCGAGTTTAAAAACAAAAACGAAAACAAACACAAAAAAACTTCACTTTTTTTCAGCAGAGCCAGTGAAGTTATCAGAAATGATATACGAGTCAGTGTCAAATGGTAGAGGGAGTTGTTGCATTTCCGGCTTTATTCCCAGTTGTGTAGGATACAGCCCAGAACAAGCTGAAAGGAAACCCCCACACTTGATTTTGATTTGCTGACACACTGTGAACCTCTTCTGCCCAGACTCCTAAGTCATCTCTATAAGAAGACAGCGTTTAAAAACGTGGAAGGATCATACTCTCTGGAAACAATATGGTTTAAGTTACACTATGTCAGCCAGCATGACCCTTTTATGTTTGCCTTTGGAGAGAAGTGGAGGGATTTGCAGATTCTTCCCTGTCTTTCCAAGTCTTCACTACTGACTTCCTAGATTCTCTCCCCAGTGTAATAATTCAGCCTCCCTTCATTTACAAAGAATTTGACCTCATCTGAAGTTGACCCAAAAGTAAGTGTTCTGGTTAAATGGGGGTCAAAAAACTGGGACTCATCAGCAGTACAGGAAAATGCCCGGGAAGTCAGTTGCCAAGAATCTGTAGAAATAAACAGATTCAAGATTTGTTTTTGGTTTTGGTTTTTTTGTTTTGTTTTGTTTTGTTTTGTTTTGTTTTGTTTTGTTTTTGAACTCCCATTAAAACCAGTGAAGCAGAAACTGGGACACGATTAGCCCGCAGAAACAGTGGATGGCAGAGAGGCAGGTGTATGTGAGCCCAACGCAAACAGCTCTGACTGCAAGAACTTTTTCCATCGAAAATGACCAACTACGAAAATAGTTTCTAGGAAAGATTTTCCGAGGATGTCTCAGAGTCACTTAATATGGGGAGGCTCAATCTTTGTTTTACTGACTTATTTACTTATTAGCTACAATTTTTCTTTTCTTTTTCTATTTCTGTTTTGTGCTAGGAACATTTAAGATCTACTCTTTCAGCAAATTTCAAGGACACAATACAGTATTAATAACTACAGTCACCATGAAGTATAGTAGACACCCCAGAACTTACTCATCCAGCGTAACTGAACCTTTATACTTCTGACCAACATCTCCCATTTTCTCCAGCCTCCAGCCCCTAGTAATCACCATTCTACTCTCTGCTTTTGTGAATTTGACCTCTTTAGATTCCACCTATAAGCGAGATCTGCAATATTTGCCCTCCAGCTTGGTTTCACTTAGCACAATTCTTCCAGGTCCATCCATTCGGTTGCAAATTACAGATTTCCTCCTTTGTAAAGGCTGAATACAATTCTATTGCCTATGGAGGCTTTATTTAATTCTCTTTCTTTCTGGAATAGAGGCGAAAGAGCCTTCCAAACTTCAAGTTAACAGTTCCGCTGGTGTTATTATGGTCAGCGTGAGCCGCTGGATTCCTCCATGCACAGAGTACAAAATATGTCTGCTTGTTCTCTCATGTTCTATAACCTGCCCCAAACAGTTCCTTTATTCCAGGCGATGTGGAGTCCTCCATTTCTCTTCCTCTGATTCTTGGTCTGGTTTATCCTTACAGACAGGAGTATTCTCACTTCTGAGAGAGGCACGTTTTGAAGGATAAGCCACAAGCTTCTTAAGGCTCTGCTTTTCTTTAAAAGAAAAAAAAAAAAAAACAAGTGAAGGTTTTATTTGCAACATTTTGTTTTCGTAATTGTTTTGCTACCCAGCGTCTCTAACACATAAATGTATTGATTTTAAGCAGCTGGTAAGCCAATTTGCTTCTTCCAAAATTGCTGTTTGTGGGTCATATTCATTTATTTGTTCATTCACTGACTTTTTTTTTTTGGATCTCTATTTTATTAGGGAAGCATAATCCAGTGTGAGTTATCCAGTGCTGTGAGTTACTCAGTGAGTTCTCAGATGCTGAGAACTGATCAAATCTGATTGAGAAATAGCTCCTACCTTCAAGAAACTTGCAATCAGGTAAGGCAAAAATCATTACTATACACAGTAACCTATAACACAAGGAATGCTGTAATAAATATCATCAAAATTAAATAACCTAAGTATTCATAAAAACATTCTTCTGAATTTCTTTGAGACTCCTATAGCCTAAAACTTTAATCTCTGACTCAAACATTTAAACAATCATGTCCCACTAGGCTTTTTTTTTTCTATCAGATCTTTTAAAAGTAATTTAACCAGAAAGACTTCCTCTATTTTCCCTCTCGAAGAACCACAGCTTTCTAGTCAATGCGTCAAGATCGCCCTTATGGGGCATCGGTAAACTCTGACAAACTTGAGTCATTCTTAAATGTGAACACCCAGGAATCGATGTCAATGTTTCATCAACAACAAAAACATAGATTAGTGATTGAAGTAAAAGATGTCTCAAAAACTCAGAAATCATCACAGGTAATAATTTCTTCATGGCTAAGGAAAAACATTTTTAATGCCATCAGCTCAGGGGCCTACAGGTAGGTATTCAAGTATCAAATAATTCTTTGACATTCTCAGAGAACAGCATGGAAGGAGATTTTAATATTGATAAGTGACACAAAATTATATACAGCAACAATATCCTATAATTTCCCAGTACTTGGCATAGGGTTCCGCGCACTGTAAGTGAACAGATAAATGAGCACACGCATTTCTTTGACCTAGTAAGGTGCCTGGCATACAGAGGCGCTTACATATTTGTTAAGGGAATGATCGATTAATAACTCCTGTTTTAGGTACTCAACTAAGTTATGACCCCCATTTACAGTCCTCAGTACTGATGAATGTTCATGGCAACTCCAGTATCTCAGTATGTCAGGTGAAGGGGAGAGTGCACACCGAACAGGGTTACTGATCTTCCCTTCCCTTCACCTGATCAAATCTTAC